TGCAGGTAGCCCTTCTCATTCACCGTTGTGGGTTATCCGCCGCAGCTAGCCCTTCTCATTCACCTGTGTGGGGTTGGCCAATCGCAGCGATCTTTATCCTCCACCATGTGACCTGTGGGGCTCTGTGAGGTTGTCCAGTTGTCCAGTTGGAAGTGGCCCCCTAATTCTATCATCCACCGTTGTGGCGTCGCACGAGCGCGACCGACCCTTATCGTTGAGTCCAGTTTCCTACAGACGCAGTGCGCTGCAACCGACCATGTGCGACCGGGCAACTTTTTTCTGCATTTGGCAATCGCGCCTGCGAGTCATCTAACTACCGCGCCTCTGCCGCTTACACATACCGGTTCTTTGTATTCCTGCCTCACGCTGCAGGGTGAAGGGAGTTCGTCTTGCGGCAGGTTTCTTTGCAGGTCTAGTCCTGCCCTTGGAGGTGGCAATGATGGCCTGTTCCTCCATCCTTTGTGCAGCAAGCGGCAAACTTTTCCCCTGATACGTTTGATCAGCGCGTTGCTGCTCCACCCATGCTTTCCAGGCTGCTGTGCTCCATAGTGGCTGCCCCAAACGGCGTGCCAGAACATGGCCACTAGTGATCTGCCTTGCAGTGGGACTGTATAGGGCGCCACCATGTGCAAGCAGCTTTGCCAGGCGAATGACCTGCAGCTTGAGTTCCAGTGTGCTTCGGTGCAGCTGCTGGGTTTGCCGAAAGATGGCGTTCAGTTCTGCATGCAGTGCCTCGTTGCTGGCGGTCCCCGACGGTAGGAGTAGCTTTGTTACATCATTCAGACCGACGCGAAAGCGAAGGTTGTTGAAAAGCCACTCGAGGCGATCTGCTGCCACCAGGTTGTACAGGATCTTCGCTACGGTGAGCTTCGTACCGTCAATCTTGCGGGACAAATCTTTTTTGTTGTCTGCCGCAAGCGCAGCCACAGCTTCCACAAATTGAATCCTGGTTGGCCACGTTTCCAACATTTCAGACTCTGAGATCACACGCCTGGCCCGGCGAGCGTTCATGGTGCCTTCCATCACATGATCTCTGAGTTGCATCTCCTGAGTAGTGAGACACCGGCTCTGGGTTCCATCGTACATCAAGCCCCACACATTGTGGGAGGTGGCAGCGCCGTGGCATGAAAACTTTGACAAAAACCGACGGAGCAGCGATGACCCATGGGTCCTTCGGCCGCCAGTCGCCTGTTCGTAGTGCATAGCAGCATGGGTGGGGTCCAAGGATAGCCCTTCCATGTGAGGCAAAATTTTTTGCAGCTCACTGAAAAGTTTTCCAGAAGGAGAATCACTTGCCACATGAATGACTTGCTGCAAAGCATCTGGTGGTAGGGATTGTAATAAGCACTGACAGATATCTTCAGACCCTTCCCCTTTGGACGGAGTCAGGGCTAATACTGCACCGGTGCGACCACGCGCGCTCAGGACTCGGTGGTAGCTGCGATCATCCCCAAATGGTTGCTTGTCACGCACAGCCTTTGGAGCCGTGAAGGGCGCCTGTCCCAGCAGTGGCAAACACACTCGGAACGTTCCATCAATGGACAAGTACATGGCCTCCTGGTGGCGCAGGGCTGTGTGCACGAAGCCATCCAGCAAGCCCACGGCCGCAGGCGAGCCCACCACATCCTCGACCATAGGCCACCAACTGGAGGTATGAGTTGGAAGAAGATTGACGAGCTCGTTTGATTGAGCTGTGGCATCCAGCATGAACCGCGGCCAAATAGATTTCACCTTGAGCGCATCAGGGCCAGCAAGCATAACAATGAGGCATGCTAGATACCGGTCTTACATGACTGTCTGGCCTTGCCATGTTGCAGAAGTATCTCTTGAAACAGTTTCTCCCCAAAGGCATGTGTATACCAGAGATTGCCACAGCGACGCGCAGTTGCTTTGGCTTCTACAATCTTGTGGTGGACAAACCTTGGGCCCTTTGCATCCAGCAACAAGCGGATAAACCTGTCCACCTTGTTGTTGGTTGCAGACAGAGAAGGCTTCACCTGCTGCCGGAGAATCACAGCACTGCGCTTTAAGTACCCTCCACAGCGAACACCCTTGATCATATCAGAATCGTGAAGAGCTAGGATGACCCGCAACTGCTTCGTCCCAGAACAGCAGAACTGAGTTTTGGTTGTATGATATTTGCGCAAGCGCGCCACGACGCGCGTGGCTCTGTCAAAGGCCCGGAAAGGGCACGCAGGGCAGCGGCATTTCGATTGAGGTGCAGGTTTTCGTTTCTGAGCTGCAGCAACCATCTCAAGCACCTCCTCCTGTAACTCTTCTAACAGGACCCGGTCAACCGTGACCAAGCCTTTTGAATCCAACCAAGCAAAGCCTTCCACCAGTGCCAGAGTTGTCAGGCTTCCCTTCAGCATCAGCACTGTCGTCACTGTCCTCAATCTCATAAAGCTCTTCTGAGGAGCCGCTGTCGCATTCCACGCTGCGCCCTGCAGCTGATATGTCCAAGAGTTGCCCTTGATCGGCATCTGTCAGGCAGGGCCCCGGAACCTGGTTGGCTAGGCTCTTGAAGCTTGCATCAGAGAATGTGAAAATGACAGCGCTGCTTCGATCAATGCCATTCCTCAATGCGTCAAAGAATGCTCCATGCGAAAGCTCCATGCGCACACCTATGTCCCATACAGTGACGGGGCTCGCCTCATCCACAACGCAATTGGCCACGCAGTGTGGACATGAACCATTTTCAAGATGGAGAAGCCACTTCCCAGCAGGCAATCGCTCCACCATGCAGAAAGGAATGGCAAACAGAGAGCACCCAGCCATGACGCTGTATTGATTGTATGTCCTACACCCTCGTTGCTGCATATATGTGTTGAATTCCGACTCGGTCGTGTTCAACTTCTTTTCGCAATCATCAGACGACATGTAGCCAAGGCACACCAAATGCAGAATGCAATTCCCTGAGACCTTCAAGGCATTGGACTTGGGTAGATCAAGCCCTTCTGCTTTTGTGGAAATTTCATCGACAAGTTGCAAGACAGTCTGATGCTTCTTCTCCCTGATCTTCACAGCAAAGCCAGTCACAGCAAGAATGTGCTGCTCGCTATCAGCGCAAAGCGTTTCGGTGGATTTGCCAGGGATTTGCGCAACTCGGACACCATCGAAATGCAAAGACAAATGCTGTGGCCCATGCTCTTTTTGAATGTGTTCAGACCAGGCCGTCAAGACATAGTCCTCCACAGCAGCATACAAGTGCGCGAGGCAAGCGCGAGGTGTCAGGATTATATGTCACTCCTCTAAGATATGACTTAGGTATACACTGTATCTATCTATCTATATTCTCTCTATTATGTATGTATATATATATATTTTTTTTTGCGGGGAGAGTTATACTTTATATAGACTACACCTGCATTACTCGATACGAAGTCGGTGCCTACTTCCGCCAATACTGCGAGGCTCAAGGGGGGAGACAGGACACAGGCAGCCCGATATAGATTTGACCATGGCACAGACTGCGAGAGTGACACTACATGACGGTGTCTTGCATCGACTGTCAGAGTTACTGCGCTGGGCAGTGACTCGCTTACCTGAGTCGACACCCACGGGTGACGTCTGGGAGAATGTGCGGGAGCGCTGTCGCATGACGGCTTCTTGTGTGGAGGTTTCGCAGCGCCTGCATCTGACCCAGTGCGCTGCAGTCATCTTTGAAGCAAAGCACTGGGCCAGTGGGAATAGAGCCGACACTGCGCGCACCATTTCGTGCACAGTATCTGTCGTCGATGGCTGGGATCGGCTGGTCAAGCACAAAGCACTACACGTACAGGAACTCTATACAGCAGAAAATGCTTTGATGTGCTTGCTACCAGCTGCAAGAGCGGAAGTGTCCTCGCTGCCAACTGCAGGAGCAGAAGTGTCCTGGAGAGACATCTCCCTGTGGCTGGAAACAAGCCTTCTCCTCGTGATGGCGGTCAGGCGTGGGCTTGAAGCCGCGGCGTAGTCGAATGTCCGCGCCTGTCCGCCAGTGTCCGCGGCTGTCCGGACACCGACACTCCACAGAGCTTCAGGCGACAAGCTTGGGGATGTCCGCGAATGTCCGCAAGCTCAGGTGGATAGGCGGCCTAGGACAGCAGGGCTAGGTACACAAGTGCCCGCGGCGGACGGAGTCTGAGTGTCCGCGTGAAAAAGCGCATGTCCGCGAATTGTCCGCGGCGCGTCACAAGAGTTGTCCCTTTCGTACACTTCTTCTGCTTTGTTCTTTGATAGTTTTTAGGTTCAGCTTTATGTTCTCTGCAGCCTTTTTCTCAGCCCTCGACGTCTCGACTACCGACGCGGCCGCTCACTATGGCGCTTGGAACTGAGTCTGGGAAGCATCCATGCAAGTTTTGCGGGCAGCTGTTCACTGAGAGTGATGGTCGCCGGCGAGGTTGGATCTTCCAGTGCAACATCTGCGCATCTGCTGAAAAGCAGTTGCGCAGGCAGCTGGGCGAAATTCCTGAGGAAATGAAAGGCATGTCCGCAGAGGAAACCCAAGGTTTCTTTCGTGGACTGCACCAGGAGCGCCAGCGCATGCAGGCATCTAGCTCGAAGCAGCTTGGGTGGAACACAGTTCGCGCTGGTTTGGTTTCGAGTCTGACCACGAAGCAGATTCGGACATACCGACAAGAAGTTGAAGGCAAGTTCTTGCCTGCATCGGTCTGGGTGGCGCAAGGCTGGGATGAAGCGCTTGTGCTGAAGCAGAACAAGGAATGGAGTGAAGCCTTGGGATGCGACGCCTACCAGATCCCGGTCAAAACCTTGAGTTGGTCTGACACATACGAGAAAACGGAGGCCCGCGTTTTGGAGCATGAGCGCGCTGCTGCACAGACCAAGAAAGGAAAGGCGCAGAAAGATGGAGAAGACCCATTGGATGTACCTGCGGCTGCACCTGCTAAAGGTCAGCAGGATAAAGACGACCAGAAGCGCGAGGCCTCGGCCAAGAAGGTCACGCGCGAGAATCTGAAACAAAATGCACTGGCCGCTAAGTGCATGCAGGGTCTCACCGCCTCTTTGATGTGCCTGGAGAAGTTGGAACCGAAGCTGGAGAAGTTGAAGAGCGAAGAGGGGTATGAGGATTTGAAGAAAACCCTTTGTGACACAAAGGGTAAAGTGATGCTGTGGTCCGCGGCTGCGCGTCGGACCTTGCAGGATCATGAGGCAGGGAAGGTGCAGCGGCGCCGGAAGCCTTGGAGCCTTTGCCCTTCACGCAAGCGGATGTGAAGACGACGAGCTCCCAGGTCCAATTCCTACAGAAATCCGTGCATCTGATGACCCCGAAGCCTGCTCCGAAGCAGAAAGCTGCACCAAAGAAGGCGGCAGCAAAGGCTGCTTCGGAGGAGTCAGCCCAGAAGCGGCGACGCTGCAATGGAAAGACGGCAGACCATAGCTGACACCATATAGCTGAGACCATAGCTGAGACCATGACTGCATGGGGACAATGCAGCGGAAGGAAGAAAAGGTGTGTCTACAGTGTTTTTGTTTGTGACCTGAGTGTGTTGTTTTATATTGTTTGGTGGTTGCTTTGGTGCTTCGCAGTGGCATGTTTGCAGGCGAGGCTCAAGAGTTTGCCCACACTCGCGCACCTCAGATGAAGGAAGCTGAAGTGAAGTCTTTGCTTAACAGCACCAAATGGATTCGATCCATGCGCATGGGCCCACAGAAAGTACATTTGTGGACCGGCAGACATGACATTGGATACCACTACCGCTTGGAAGTTCTGTGGGCAAAAGGTCGGAACGCCGTGGAAATTTTCAGTAGTCCGGAGGCAGAACATTCCGCGAAGGATGTACAGCCAACCTTGTTGGACACCGCTCCTGAGCCGAATGCGCTGCAGTTCTCACCGATTCGGATCAGTGACAGTCCCCTGTCGCACTCTAGCCAGACTGAACCGGCAACGTGTGCGGGCATGAAACGCCCGGCGGAACTGTCTCCAGTGGATCCAGAGTCGATGGGAGCAGAAGAGAAGCGAACAAAGCTATGGGAGCACATGCGCCGGCGCAATCGGGTGGAAATCACGCGGAGCCCTTGAGCCTTTCCAGATCTTATCTCTTTAATTCGTGTCGAGACTCGTGTGAAGATACGTAGGTCTCGATTCAAGTCATGCATCTTGGCCAGCCTGTCCAAAAATGTGAGCGTGACATCCGGCTTTGAACGTTGTGCTGGGTTGCATGCATGTATGTTCGTTCTGCACGCCGCACTTTTTCTTAGCCAGGGTAGTGTAGAAACATGAAAAAAAGGCGCCTCAACGCAGACGACCGACCGGCGCAGCAGTTCCATGCTCTGCGTCAGATTCTCAGTCTCACAGACACTGAGCGCCGGGAGGTTGTCGGCCTTTTCAATGAGAATGGGCACGGCAAGCGGACGTGCTCTCGGATGCCTCAGAAGTATGGCAAACTGTTGGACGGTATACGGGATGTACAGCTGCCAACGGTGGATGGAGCTATGATTCCGGCGCCAGCATTGTCCCTGCCAGTTCTAGTGCAAAGTGGATAGTTGTCCTTTGTTCCGGGAAAATCTGGTATAGGGGCAATGCTAGCGCGGAAGAATGAGCTGCGGCTCATTCTATACCTGGACGAAGTGATTGTGGGCAATCCATTACGACCCGATCCGAGTCGGAAGGCCATGATGATTGCGTACACAACCTTCTTAGATTTTCAAAGTCTTCACGACGAATCTTTGTGGTTGACCGTTGGGCTAGTCCGGCATGATGATATGCACGCCTGCGTGGGACGCTGCCCAGCTGTAGTCCGCCGCTGGCTGCAAGTTCTCCGAGAGGACACCGACTCTGGTTTTCCAGTAGCTATTGAGGGCAATAGTTCGCTGGTGTTCATTTCAGCAGCTGTTTTACTCGGAGATGTTGATCAACTGCGGAACACTTCGGGGTGGAAGGGACCCATGGGCCTGAAGCCTTGTCTTAAATGCATGAACGCGCTGGCTCCGGGACGTCGTTTACCACCCGGCTACCGCAGTATGATCGATGGCCTGGCGGAATGTGCACCACTGCATCAAGAAGACCTAGAACAAGTTTTGGAGCGTCTTGAAGAACAGACTGTGGCATCCAGACTGAAACTACATGAGACGCTGCTGGGGTGGAAGCGCGAGGATTTGAAGCATTCCTTTCTGTCATGCTCGTTCCTATCCCAGTGGTGTCCCGTGGACAATGTCCATTTTGATCCAATGCATTTGTATTGGTCAAACGGGGTAGTCGGGCAGCAGCTTGGCCTCTTCTTCGCATCGGTGCGAAAGCTGACGCGTGGCTGTCTGGTCACACATATGCAGCAGTACGCACGACTCTGGACGTCGATGCCTGGAAACACCACTACTGCTGCATCCTGTATCTCAGGAAAGCTCTTCCGAGACGACGCAGACTATAGAGGCGATGCTTCGCAGTGTATAGCCGCGCTGCCCGTGGTTGTTGCTTTCGGCTGGGAACTGCTGCTACCGGCATATCCTCAGCTCAAAGAAGAGGTGCTCTGTCTAGACGCACTGTTGGCTGTTTGCCAGTATGTCTTGCGGGCAAAGCGCCTGCCGGCCAGCATACAGCTGGAACGCCTCCGTTCCCTGCAAGACAAGCACCGTCATCTCTTCCAGCGGGTCTACGGTGCTGACCTATGCCATCCGAAGCTGCACTATACATGGCACCTGGCGGAACAATTCCAGCGCTGGGGAAAGTTGCTGGGTTGCTTTTGCGCGGAGAGAAAACATCGTTGTTACAAGAACTGGGCGCAGGGCACCAAAAGAACGTTTGGGTTCGCACGTATTGTGCTCCTCCAGCTCGCGACCCGCGAGTTAGAGCACGCGCGTCCAGTGGGGACAAATGTGGCTGGAAAATGTGTCCTGGTGGAAGAGGACTGTGAAGTCTTTTCCCGCTTACGTTCCAGCAAGCGTGAGTTTGTGCAGAAGCAAGTCCTGATTCTGCACTCGCACGAGGCCTTCGAGATCTTGGGCGCCTGCTGCAGGGCAGGCTCCTTCTCTCTCCTCGGCGTTTCTTGGCTGCCGCACCATGATGCAGTTGAGGCATGTGGTCTCAGCCGATGGAGGACTCGCGGCTTGCGTAGGTGGCTGGCGTTAGAGGAAGCCCTTCAAACGAAGGAAGCTCCGCTGTTTTACCGCAAAGACGGCCAAGATATGTGGCTCTTGGGGTAAAAAAAGC